CCCCAGGGGTACAAAATGACCTCAGGGCGTACAGATAGGACAGATAGGATTAAACACTTGAAGCAACGAGTGACACACACTAATTAAAACATTTGTAAATGTTTTAAACCTCTATCAATACAGTTTAGATAATTTAGGAGGCGGGCAGCTTCTACCCTGCCTGTAAGAGCCAGCCAGGGCTGAGTGGGATAAAATATCCCCAACAGACGAAGACACTGAATAAATGACTTTCCCACTTAGAAATTAAACAGCTGTCTTCTCTGTGCAATGGAGACCTCAAAGAACCAAGCTGTGACATCACAGGTGCTGGTGTGTTTACTTTGGGGTTCATACAAAAAATGTACGATTTATGTTTATGCTTGTTATTCTGTTTCAGTTTCACACTTTCAAACATCTTAAATGGTCACGGCCAGTCTTAAGACATCTTCTCACAAATATGGCGCAAAAATTTGTAGATTCAAATGAGGAGTGTTTTCAGAAGTGAGGGGTTTTTTTTATATGGCGAAATGAGATACAGAATTATGACATAACAGCAGCAAAGCTCTGGAACAGAAATGGCACAAAATGGACATAGAACATTCCATTAAAAGTATACACATAAAGCTCGAGGCAAGTATGTTGGATATGATGAGTAATTTCTGAAGTAGAACTCAAAACTTTTCCCATACCATACCGTACAACTGAAACTCAAGGGACATAAAAGAAGTTTTCAATGCCATTACAGAATTCTGCATTTCACTTCATCAAACAGACAATTGCACAACTACAGTGGAGTCCGCATAAACTAAAAATCTGCGGGACTGTCAGATTTTCTTCCATTTAGGCGAGTGTTCGGTTAAAAGAGGTACTCAAATACAAGAAGAAAAAATTGTGGATTTCATTTTCTTTCAGTTTACCACTTCTTTCAGATTAAGCGTGTTCAGTTTTAGCAGACTCCATATAGTATTTTGTGATGCTGTAGTTTTTTGTAAACTTCAGCTGAAATACAGAAATAAAATCTTTCAAAGAGAAGCATTACTCATGAATTTCAGCAAGTTTCCTATTTCACCCTGGTGCCATATTCTACCAAACAGCAGCTTTTATTTGCAAAGGTGGCTGGTTAACAAGTGATCAGGTACATGATCAGGTAGAGGGGAGGAGTGTAACCTTTAAGAATAAAACTTCTGTTCCCTCTCTTTGCCAACAACAACCTCCCATTCATTCAGTTTCCCGAGCTCATAGCAGTAGCAGCTTTCAAGTGTTCACATTCTTGTGCTCTAAAAGGAAGTAAAAGTAGATTCTGCTCACTGGCGTTGGCTCTTACACAGTTTCCTCATTTAAAAAACAAGGCTACAGCTTGATGAAAATGATATATTTTAATCATAGCCAAGCTTACCATTGAGGGAAAGCTGTCGCAGAAACAAAGTGCATGTCCAGCCGATGGCAGAGTTGAAAACTAGCTAGTACTGCAGTTATATTTGGCCGCATCGAACAAAAAAGGGTTATTAGCAGAGCAGGCAATCTCTGAATCGGTGACATTGTACATGAATTGATAGGCTATTTTATGTCTTTATGTCCCCTGTACAAAAATTCCACTCTGAAAGCAACATAATAATGCAACACCATGAGTAATTTTCCACTCACTAATGAAAATTCTGTTCATGTAAAAAAAAAAAGGAGATACCTGTACAGTGAGACCTTGGAGGAGTAAGTAACACTTTCGAAACCAGACATTGATTATTCTACAAATAGCATATAATGAAAATATAACTTTGACTCTCATTATTCCCCAAAAAATTATTTGATTAACACATTACATTAATTCACCAGTGATTCACCCTCACCTTTCTACAATTAACATGGTTGACATATAAACTTAAACAACATTACAAAATTGACAACGTCACAAATCCATGTGAGACAGAATTCTTGGCAGTAAGACTTATTGACGTAACACAAGCCAAGTAACACATACATTTTCTTTACCTTGCATAATAAATAGTTGGGTGGGCAAAACCTTGACCAGACTATAAAAAAGAATTGGGTACATGATGACAAAACAAGTTACATAGCTTGACTTTATATCACTTCTAATAATAAGTGTATCCAGAACACTGATTAAAAACATGAGAAGTCCAAACAATACTGTAATGTCTATATCACTGTAACATCTATATCACATCTCCGCTTTTAAAAGATAAAAACAAGACCAAATTCATCAATATGAATGGATCAGGACAGCCAGCTAAACAAGTTGCTCGCTAAATTCATGATTCAAAAAATATTTATCTAAAAATGAACAAACCAACAATTTTAGACCACCAAAAGACAGATAAGCTTGTCAAAGCTGGACTCTGTACCTAGATCTGTTTTGAAACATTGGTACAAATATAAACATTTAAGTCTCACATTTTTTTAGCATACTAATTAGAGCAACTTTCAGAACAAATTCTTGCTTGGAAATCAAGAGGAATGTTTGCACGGAATCAAACATAAAAAATGCCATTGTACAAAACAGGAAATGAAAAGTAGGGAAAACAAGATGACACCAAAATACTTTCATGTAAAACAGTTCTTATAAAACTCTTGATTCAACCAGTAAGACAATTTACACACTCAACAGAATCAGATGTCATTCAAGACTGGCATATTATCTATTATCAGCTATATATACTACGAAATATCATTCATTTTCACTTCTCAAGTTAAAAAAGGCCATAAACAGCACTCACATAGACACAAAATAATAAATTTGAATTTCAAGATTGAAGAACGAAGTATGAGATTGAAATAATGTATTTTTAAAATCCAAACAGTAAACTGATTTATTTGTACAGGTTAAAAAGCATTCTCGATTTCTAATGAAATTGTATAATTACTGGGGGGTTTTCTATGGAATGGAATAAAGACAAAAGAAAATTAAACTTCAAAATTTAAAATGATCTGCAAGGGTAAACATTTTAACATTATAATCTGTAAAATATCACAATGTGACTAAAAAACTAAAACTACAAAATAACATGCTAATGAAAAATGGTCTCTCTCTTAAAATGTAAAAGGAATGTAAAAAAAACAGAAACAACATCAAGGCATCAAGAAAACCACTATATCATGACCATACATGATACATAATCATGAACTTTACTTTTTCTCTTATCATTCGACAGAAATGCAAAAATGCAATTTAACCCTATTACTGGCAAGTGCCAATGAGATCGGCACTTTCTTTGCCACCAGACTGTTACGGACGATAAAATCCGTAGTTTCCGAAAATGGTCTACACGAACCCGGAAATACTGATGCTGAACGACAGCGCACTAATTTTAAAAAGAAGGATCTCATGTAGTTATTAGAACTCTTTTCGAGCTACAGTAAAGAAAAAGATTGTCCGTTAATTTAGAACCGCCCGCAGCCCCGACTCTGCAAGTCAGTGAAAATGGCTTCTTTGGGTCCTCGGTCGTTTCTGTAAACGGTCTTCGCGAACCTAGGAAACACTGCTGCTGAACCAAAGTGCACTAATTTTTTTAAAAAGGACCTACAGTTATTAAAGAACTCTTTTTGAGCCAGAGGAACATAAAAGATTTTCCGTTATTTAACTTAGAATCGCCTGGGGCAGTGACTCTGCAAGTCAGTGAAAATGGCTTTGTTAGGTCCTCGGCAGTTTCAAAGGTTTCTGGCAAATTTTAGGGAAGAAATATCGACATTGTACATTTTTTCTGCATATGTAGTGGCTTTTTCACAGAGCTTTCTAATTATATATATATATATTCATATATATATATAATTATATATATATATATATATATATATATATATATATATAGTATTCTGGTCTTTGTATCGATCATGTGTACTCATTTCTTACATCCAAATGTGTATCCTGGTTCCTAAGACTTTCCCCTTTTCCCCTGACAAGTGCAAGTTTCCCACAAATATAAGTAACTTAAATGCAAGCACTACCAAAATGAGCAACACATACTCTCTTTTATAGGGCAAAATAAAGAAAGAGACCCCCCCCCCCCACCTCAAGCATTCTGTGTGGATCCTAGACACAGGCAGAAAGAGGAGTCTTCTGCTTATGTCAAAACCAACAATGTATAAAATCTCTACAGAAGTAAGGAATTGACCCATAGCCCCATGTGACATCCAAAAGAGTATACTATCTGTACATTCCTTGTTGCACTGCCTACACACGACATCATCAGTATAACTCCGGCCTGAGTACACAGTCATATCTTACTGGATGTGGAGAGGTAGGGAGTAGGGGGTGGTCAGAGGCTATTCTTCAAATTTGAAGGATTTTCTTCCTCATTCTTCCATTCATTCCATTCAATCATACTTACTGTTCTGCCGTAAACTGACAAAACGCTTTTTTTCTGTCACAGCAGTTTCGAGAAAAAGAGAATTTTTTAGTCAGCGTAACCATCTAAAAATACAGTGATTCCGAAATTTGAATTCTAATTTATTAACACTTTACACCCTAAGGGTCTGGACGGGAAGTCCATTGTTAGATCCCAAGCAATTGGAAGGAACCCACCTCCCGTGAATAAAAGCGTTTAAAAAACACATTTTAAAAATACTAAACAAATTCCAAAAAACCTAAAAAAATAAAAGTTAAAACGAAAAATGAATGTAGTTTCAGAAAAATATAACTTTATGTATGCGCAAACTGTTGGAAATGTTATAACTTTAGTTCAATCGGGGTGTCCGACCCGACACTTTCACTCTCAGCCTTGCGGTCAGGCCCTATAAGATCTAAATTCTAGATTTTCTACGTCTGATCAATCGGAATCGCCCCAAACTCTTGCTACAACGTTTTCATCAAAATCTGAGTCATCTGATTTGTCATATGCTTGTTTTTGCTCAAATCCATCGTTATTTCCTTTTCCGAACTCAATTGTGTTGCTTTTCAACAAGTCAAGACACCTACGAAGTGTCGGTAACGCGATCGCACTTCGTTCGGCTCTAATACTAAAACTGCAGGCCCGAAAAATTTCGTTTTGGTATCAAACGAAAGAAGAAACTTTTTGCAATAACTATGCAAATCAAAATCTCGGCCCCAGATCAAGACTTCGTTTCTAAAGACACTAGGTCGGCGTGGGCGGTTCTGGGCGAGTCAGGGTGGAGCGCGTAAGAGAATTCCCAGGCGGTCCCGGGCGAGTTAGGGTGTAATGTGTTAAAATGCTAGTCACAGTTTCCCTTTGATTTTTTTATACAAGTAGGGTAACTAATCAGGCTTTCGATAAAATTGAGCAAATACAAAATTTTGGCGCCAAAATGAAAAAAGGCTTTTTGTCAGCTTACGGCACTGTTGCATTGTGAGACAAAAATTTCACGAGCAGATCTAGACAAGAAAGCTATCACACTTCATGGCTCTGCGGTCATGAGCCAAAGAAATCATCATCGTTCAAGTCCCCAGTCTCACGTGTGTTTTGTGCGGGTCGTACGTGGCGTACCATTCTCTCATCTGTGTTCTGCCTCATGAACGCAGCATCATAACTGTCCACTGTGCTGGCACTGGCTGTGGGCCTCAACTGACTGACACGTTTCTGTAAGCCGTGCTCCTCCTCATCTTCTGCCTCATTATGGTGTTCTTCTCCCTGACCAGGGTTACTCAACCAAGAATCTGCATTTGAAGAAAAGATACCACCAAAATATGGTGTATTGAAAGAGCAATTGAAATAGTTTTAACTCTTTTAACCCCATCGGATGCTGGAAGCGTCCGAGGGTAATAACCCTGTTCCCGATCGAACCCTGGGAGCGTCCGATACTAGTGACAACTGTTTCATTTCAATTAGAGCTGGTTTTTGCTTGTTTTTTTTAACTATTCCCGAACTAAGTTTTTTAGTAATGACTAAGCCTTTGTTTCTACTATTTAAAAGTTGGAGGCAAGATTTTGGGGTTATGATATGACATAGTGCACCAGGTTTAGGTGACCATAGAAAAAAAACTCCGGGAAACGGTGGAAAAAACTCAGGGTTTAAAGAGTTAAGTCTAATCACAAATCTGAAACAAAAATAAACAAACAAGTGAAAAAAAACCTGGTAAATCGTAAGTGCAGTTGAGAAACATTTTTAAGTTTCAACCACGAATCTGCATTTAAGAAAAAAAAAATTGGCGGATTGAAAGAGCAGTTAAAGTGACTTCAGCTTCAATCGCAAATCTGAACCCCCACCCCCCTCCCCCCAGCAAAAAATATTGGTGGATCTTAAGTAAGTGCAGTTGAAATATTTTAAGCTTCAATCACGAAACTGCAGAAGAACAAAGACTTTGATGAATCAAAAGTAAACTAGTTGACTATTTGTGAGGCATCATTGTGAAATCAGACGCTCATCAAAATAATGAAATTGAGGAAAAAGGCAATTTCCCTCCAGCTTGGCAATTTTCGATGAACTTTTGTTTTTTGGCACATCACCTTTCATGTCCATAAAAAAATACATTTTCAAGTTAAATTTTACTGAAAACCGTTTCTTAATGGCAAAAAATATGTAAATTTTCAGTTCTCAAGGACCCTCAAGCTATACATGTTACCAACTTTGGCAATCATTTTCTCGAAAATGTTATCTCAGGAACCAGGCAACCCCACCTCTTTCAACAGCGAACATCTCAACGTGTATCCAAGATAAATGGATACTTTTTTTCATAAAAAGCAAGACAGGCTTTAAGATGATACCAATAACCCCATACGCCCCAAAATTGATGAGCGCCTGAATCTACTGCGTCGTGACACATTTTTCTTCTGCTTCTGTTTAGGTTTTATGTGGGCGTGGCATTCTGCCAGTCTATATCATGCTATATACCTTTACTGACAGAGTATGGCTTACCATCACTTGTAGCATTGAATTCCATATCTTTTTCAACTTCCACCTCTTCATCAGGGTTTTGTATGCGTTTCGCCTGAAGAAAAGACGTCAAAATAAAAATCAAACTACCCACAAAAGAAAAACAATCAGGCCTATAGCTTTACATGTTACACAAAGCATCTCTTCTTTCATAAAAATAACCAAACATTGTAATATTGAAACAGCCAAAAAATTTATTGCTCTTAGACAGAAAAATAAAAATAATAAGATTCTATCCAGCAAAGGGAATTTGAAAACTAAATGTTTCAATGCCATTGCTCACCGAGCATTGACCTGAAAATCAAGCTGCACTGGGGCATAATTTATCAGCCTTTAAGGCTCAGAGGTAGTTTTTTTCTAAGTATGGTTAAAACAATACCCATGGACGAAAATGAGTGAAATTTGGCAACCCATCTGAAGAAGGCCCAACTTACATGCATACGTACAATGTCGAAAGAATTCTAGAACTGAAGAAATAGCCATGTTTATGCAATTTTCTTTCATTTTTCAAAAGCTAAGAGGAGCTGCTGTGTCGTCGATGACCAGGCAGGCACTCCACTTGTTTTCTTTATTACTGTATAATTTCAAACCCTAGTGTGTAGTACATTTTAAGTACCAACTCAAAATTACCACCCATCCAGCGATAAAAGACGAACTGATAAACAGAACTTGCTGGAATCCTGGCACGCAAAAAGGACATAATCGCTAGGCGGCATGTGATTAGCTGCCTAAAAATAAACCGGTAACAAGAGTCCATTGCCCCTTTTTTTGCTACATCGCATTGTTAAGTTGCTACGGGTATCGCAGAAGAGTGCTGATTCTTTAAAGGATAAAGTCATATCGAATCTGTAACAGGTGGAGTAGATTCAACCATTTTCTGCCCATTGTGTTTAGAATTAGACCAAAGTAGGTTGTAAGCAAAGATGTGCTAAAACTTATGAAGATTTGTAATGTTTGAACCTGCCTCACAAGCCTGTGCCCCCATATTCATAGCAGTTCAAGCAAAGTTGCTCTAACAAACAACTTTTCAAGCAAACACAAGTCTAAAAAATCCAAAGTACTAAAGACATTGAAACGTTTATGACAAAGCTAGATTCTACACTGAAACTCACATTAAGACATCTAGTTTCATAATCATACATACACTAATTTATTATTGATTTATGAACAGATATTTGTCAAAATACATCAAAAATTGGCCAACTTTTGAGCACTATTTTCCTACATAAACATGATACTCAAATATTTTACAAACCAAAAACATACATAACTTTTTAAATTCATCTAGGAATTTTAGGACCACTTCATTTAAGACTATTTCAAAGTGACTTCAAGGATAATATAATTTTTCAGTCGCACTGCTAAATTGTTTTGACCCATAAGCATTTGGGTGCAATCTTTTTTCAAATGAAAATGAAAGTCATCCGACTTTGTCCTCATACTAAAATAAAACTTTTATACATATGTGGAGATATATACTACGGTATATATATTATATACACATGTATAAAATAAAATGAACAGACTAAACAATACCTACCCTTTCACGTATTCTTTTTGCTCTTTCTTCCCTTATGCGCTGTTTTTCCTTGATTTCAAGTAGTCTTTGCTCTTTTCTGATTTCAGCCTGTTTCAAACTGTCATCAAGAACAGTCTGAAAAATAAATTTTGAATATTCTTTTATGTCTAAAATTCTTGAATATGAAACAAAATGGGATGTATGCTATTCAAATGATACACAAACCAATGTCAATTTATCAACGGAAACGGAAAACCATACCAGGTCCACCAGACATTTCTCCCTTCTTAAATAAATTGCATGAGCAGCAGGGGGCATAAATATGGCACTGCAGTTTCAATGTAAGCGTCGGCGCTCTTAAAAAGTGGTGTTCTGATAGAACAAAGCATAAAGTATGTCGACAATCTATCTTCCCTTGTGACGATGGATCAGGTGGATCATTAAGCTCAAACAGACCAGAAAATGCCAGTTGCAGAGAGTGCAAGGAACGGAACAATGACCTACATCCCTGTGCATGAGTCATCATCCTTTTGAATACATGTGCGTGTGTGTGTGTGTGTGTGTGTGTGTATGTGTATGTGTGGGTGTCAAACTGCCACGCTTTCTCTTTACTTTTGAGAGTGATGTTGAATTATGTACTAGAAATAAAATTTTCAAAGTAGCTGTATGTCAAATTTATCTGTTTCATATGAAAAGCCTATATCTCCTGAGAATATATTAGGTAGCGTAAACACGGCCTCGCAGGCAGTCGTGGCCTTCCGACCGCGTGGTATAGGTGAAATCGGGGTAATTCCGATCGCTGTTTCTTTGCTCTTTCGCTATAAAACACCAAATTCCGTACACCTTGTAAAAGTTCAGCTTTTCCTCGTTACAATGGTGTAAGTTCTTTATATGTCTGATTATTAGGAGCTGGAGAATCGTCGATGAAAGCGAAGCCTCTCGCGGTCGGAATGCATGGTCGGCCGGTTAAAAAATTGACATGCATGCATTCATATGCTTCGCGGAACGAGCGATGATTAAATACCGTCTTTTCATTGGCGGAGAACTGTAGAGTTCTAAACGGGCTTTCCCGTGGTATATATTTGGCTTTTGGCGTTTAAATAGAAAGCTTTTAAAAATGCTGTCAAAATGTTTAAAGATCACTTCTTACACAAAATATGTAAAATACCGGCTTAAAAAAGGCATTAATGAAAAGATCAGTTTATTTTCTATTAGAATAAAGTAATCAGCTTGGAATTATTTAATATCAATCCTTCTGCGAGACTCCAAAAGCATGTGACCCCGCATGCGGGGTACACTACAGCATAAGCCGACTCGCTCGCCGCGGGGGGCGGTGTGGCGCCAGCCGGGTCAACGCTCTGTGTTTTTGTCTAAATAACGACAGATCATCGTGTTTGAAGTGATAAAATACTGATTTGTAATGATCTCACAGTCTTGAAAAAAATTAGGGTCCATATATTTGTTACAGTGATTGTACTCTGTTAATGTGGAGATGTTTAGTGCACTTGGTACTCTTTTATTGTCTGTCAAACATGGGGTTGCAGCCAGTGACTGACTTTCACAACTTTGATCAAATTTTAAACAACTACCATTTTCTTTAAAATTGACTGAGAGGTCAAAGAATGGTACCAAAATGTTCAGTGGATATAGGCCTTTCAAATGGAACAGATAAATTTGGCATACAGCTACTTTGAAAATTTAGTTTCTGGTACCTAAATATATACTGTAGTGTACCGAGTGCTCCCCGCATGGTGGGTCACATGCTTCCCGAGTTTCGCGAAAGGATTGATGCAAAATAATTCCAAGCCCATTACTTTATTCTAATGGAAAATGAACAGGTCTTTCCATTAGACCTTTTTTTATGACCCGGTATTTTACATATTTTGAGTTAAAATATTATCTTTGAAAACTTTGACAGTATTTTTAAAGGCTTTCTATTTAAACGCCAAAGGGAAAAAATATACCACCTAAAAGCCTGTTCAAAGCTCTGTAGTCCCCCATCAATGAAAAGACGGTATCAAATCATCAAAATGTCGACGAAGCATTTGAATGCACGTGTGTCAATTTTTTAACCTGCCAACCACACATTCCATCCGCGAGGGGCTTCGCTTTCCATGAAGATTTTCCAGCTCCTAATAATCGGACATATAAACAACTTACACCAAGGTAACATGGAAAAGCTGAACTTTTACAAGGTGTACAGCATTTAATGTTTTACAGCGAAAGAGCAAAGAAACAGCGATCTGAATTACCTCGATATCACAGAAACTACGCCCTCGGAAGGCCGCGAGGCCGTGCTTACGCTATCTAGTTGAATTCATTATCTTATTAGGTGCAATCTTCTGTGGCTTATTCCCACTTTCTTAAGTTGATCTCTTTAGATTTCATGTCTCTCTAACAGGCACCTTTGTAGAGGCTCATTTTTTTTCTCCTTCCACTCTGATTTTCAAGATGTTAATGACCCCCCATCCCCCTTCCCCTCCAAAAAAGGAGGAAAAAATTTTAATAGTCATCGAAAATCATCTTGTTTTCTATTGGATTCTGTACCATAAGAGTTTATCCTGGTATTCTTTAGAAGACTAGACCCATCTTGAAACATCTCCTCTGTGTAACCTCAACCTGCACTATTACCTTAATATACACTTTAGGCAGGCTATGATCCTTGAGCTTTAACAGATGATCTTAGGTGATATTGCTGTTGTATTCCTAGTATGTTGCATTTTTTGTTCCACTAAAAAAAACCTGAAAACATCAAATTACCTTTTCTTGATCCATCTGCTGTTTCATGCCAAACTCCTTCGCCTTTAGCAGCTCCCTTCTCCGCCTGGATGACTTTTGTGATGTGTTTATCTTTTTCAACTTCAACTGCAAAAATGAAGAGAAATGAAAAACTTTATGGAAAGGAAACTAGGTAGTGTTGAATTCGTGGTGTTATGCACATTAAGATACTGCTGATCTATATACGAATGAAACTGTAGAAGGTACCAAATTCTACTGAGTCCCAAGCAAAACATAATAAGCTTCACAGTTATGTGGATATTATGAACGAAGAGAAATTATTCAGATTTAAAAGAGTATTCAAATGTGAGGCATCGTGGTGAAACCTGGCACTCGTCAAGAAATGAAATCAAAGAAACCTGCATTTTTCCGCCCCTTGGTAGTCTGTATCGAATTGTTGTTTTTTGGCTTGACACCATTTACCTGGAGGAGTCATCTCTGACTCAGAGGTTGACGTGTAATGACCTTCCATCCTTCACGGTCGCAAGCTGCCATTGCACATTCTGCCATATCCTGGCCAGTCTATGTTTTTATGTTGTCCATCTAAGTTACTCTTTATCTTCCCCTGGCTCTTCTGTCCCATACTCTTCTTTCAAGCACCCCTTTCACAATGGTCTCGGGTCATTTTAAGTGGCCATAGTGTTGTATTTTCCTAAATTCTTTTTTATTTTATTCAGCAGGGTTTGTCTTGTGTGGAGAATTTGACACACCTCATTGTTCGTCTTTTTTGCTTTCCAACAGGCCATTTTGGACATTCATTTTCTGACCATTCTACGGTAGCACATTTAAAGCGCAGCTATTTTGTTTTCTTCTTTCTTCGTCAAAGTCCAGGTCTCTGCACCATAGAGGAATATGCAGAAGATATAGCATTCCAGCATTTTCTTTCTTAAGGTGAGAGATAGTTGCTTGGACTAGACCAGACCATCAATGATTTATTTATAGAGGCACCAGCCATCCATGTCCAGGTGCTGTTTTAGCCTCTTTTTCCTGTATTCGGATTAATAATATCTTTTTGCCAATTTATTGGTTCCGCTTCTATGTACCCCATATCTATGGTTCTCAACCTGGAAATCGCCTATAATTCGCTGTAATTGTCTCCCCCCCCCCCCCCCTCCCCCCACTCTCTCTCCCCCCCCCCCCTCCTCATAGTGTCATCATTTATGTTACCGTCTATTTTTATCGATAACACGTTTATGGATTAAGGGCAGTATTAATGATAATTAAGAAAAAAAAAGAAAAAAACATCAACTAAATAATAAATAAATAAATAAATACATACATAAATAATAAATAAATAAATAAATAATGCTAATGATTATCATAATACAAATATTGATAATAATAAGAAGAAGAAGAAGAGGAGGAGGAGGAGGAGGAGGAGGAGGAGGAGGAGAAGCAGAAGGAGAAGGAGAAGAAGAAGAAGAAGAAGAAGAAGAAGAAGAAGAAGAAGAAGAAGAAGAAGAAAAAGAAGAAGAAGAAGAAGAAACACGGCCATAACATCAATATAAAAAACAATAATGCTAACAATAGAATTCATTTGAGTAAAATAATGAAATAATATTAAAATAAAAAATGGAGCAATATTATTATAAATCAAAATTTCTAAAAAGACACTACTTGGAATCCGCCGATTGTATGGGATCAGATACCTTGTATGAATACGTTAAATTAGGTAATTCAATCCATACAATTTGAGGTTATATGTTCAGATCACCATTCTTTTTTTTTTTTTTTTCAAGAGGAAAGCAGATGTCTATTCTCATTTTGTGTTTGGTCATTCTATTGAGTTACATCTATAAGACCAATCTCCTCGTGGTTTAAGGAGTGGAAATATGATGTATAAACTCAACTATTGCATTTTTGTTCTTTTTGTAGAGGGTCACATCCTTTTACCGACATCCTCTTGTGTAAGGAGTGGAAAGAAAGATGTAGCTTGGACTTGAAAAGTTTGACAACGTTTATGTCCAGTTAAAAACATGTGTGGATTTAACAGAAAATCGTTGATTATAAACACAAAAATGTGAATTTCCAGTTTCCAAGGACTCTCAAGCTATGGAAGTCATCAAACTTTGGCGGCCGTTGTATTACTAATTTTACCTGTGAAACAACGGAATTCCCCCACCTCTTTCAATCTGTTCAAGATAAATGGGTATTTTTTCTTTCAAAAGAGAGACGAATGAAAAAGGTTTAATATGATACCAATAACTTCACAAGCCCAAAAACTGACGAGCGCCAGACTCCACCAGGTCATAACACAAATAACTTTTAAAATTCAGTGACAGCGACATTACATATATTTTCAACAACGAATGACACATAATACGAGAGACAGCAAGAATATCAAAAATATATCGGTCTTGCCTATCACAATATTGTAAGTCAAAAGCTAGCAATGTCATCCTAATAGCATTGTTCGGTCAACCATAATTCTTTTTTAGAAAAGATGGTTTTGCAAAAGTTATGAACACCTTTCAGTTTCTGAAAAGTGAGACTGGACTAAAGACCATTAAGACCAATGAGTCTTTGCATTATTAACAAATAACTGATTGGAGCTCAATGGACCATCCAACATAATGTTCCCATTTCAATACTATTATATGGCACAGCCGCAGGTTTTGTCATGTATAATTCACGATGCACTTTCTTCATCTGCAAGGATGCAGGATGATAATCGATATATACGTTCCCTTTGTCGGACAATTATGGTACACTGTCAGCACCATAAAAATTTTGTCCCAAAAATGTGAGTATGGAAAGGCAAGACGTTCCATCTCGTTTTGTTACTTAAGAAAATGAATGATGAGTTATATGAATAAACGAAACAGGTGAAATTTCCATGGTCAAAGGAACAGCCAAAAGCAACAGAGAAAGGTATATGCAGATGCCAAGAACCAGTGCAAAACTTGAATATTCCAGGAGAAAGGGGTAGGAGACAGATTTTGAAGAAGAATTGTTGATGGTCTTTGCTCTTAAGAGAGCAAAAAGACAGGACAGAAAGTTATTAATTCTTTCGTTGCCTTATGACATACCGGGTACGTCAAGAAAATGCGTAATTTTTAGCGCTGTGCTGTACCATGTACATCATGGAAGTCGCCAAAATTTGCGACTCCTAATTGCCTATAAACCGATATATGTACGTCACGCTAATAACATGGCTCTAATTCTTCTGTATGGAGATTTAACCACAAGTGACAAAATCGAAGACCCGATGCTTAAAATATGTCACGAGTGTGCTAGATCTAGAACGCGCATCCATTATCACTGAGATATAAGGCTGCTGTCCTGGGCAATGAGCTCAGCTGAAAATCAATGCTGATAGTAGGAACGCAACGAAAGGATTAATGCAATACCAAGAATATTGTAATAATTTTTTTATATAGTAAGAGGAGACTGCCCCCTGAAGAAAAGTAAAATTAAGTATCTTAATACTTCTATAATAGCAAAGGTATGGTCAAGTGGAAAGCTAGAATGCACTATTAGTCGGTCTTGCATTGTACTTCTTCTCTTTCTCCACAGTTTCAGTCTACCTGTCCTGCTTTTTTCCAAGCACAATATAAATGTATTGTGTATATTTCATCTCTTTAAATGAAAAAAAAAGGAAACTAAATACACCCCCCCCCCCCCCCCCCCAGACACACACACACTGAACAAAAAAAAACAACAAGAGGCAACAGAAACAAGCAAGAGTCAGCACATACCCGTTCTCTCTTCTCATCTGCCAGTCTCTGTTTCTCTGCCAGTTGTTCAGCTGTCAGTCTAGGAATATCTAAAGGCTCCAAAGCCTGCAAAAATAAATCAACCAAATTTTTAAAGTACAAACTCACAAAATTTCAGAGGAAAGACTTCAACTTTCGGTCAAAGAGATTAAATGATCATACAAATAGAGTAACGGAAAATAATTAAGGAAATACATTTGTTTTTGGCAGTTGAAACATTTTGGGTGTAATTAATTTGTAAACCACCCTCCCCCCTCCCAGGGCAGTGCCACTGACTGTGCCACTGATTGAAGTGTTTCAGGCCATTCCCAAAGGGGGGATATTAACATTTTTTTATGCACGGTGGAATAGCAAATGGGCAGATTTATCAATGTCATGCTCATACTGTGCCAGAACAACATAGGGGGAATTGCTGCTTTTTCGTTCCTCATCCTTACTATCATCATTTCCTCTACTTCTTTTGTATGTTTGTCACTTTCTTGTGAACTGTTATTTCCAGGGTGCCTTGATAGTCGTAGCAGACTTTGTGCTGGTGAGGCTAGAGAGGTGAGCAGAGTTAGCCTGATTCCCTGTCTGGACTTCTCTGTTGACCTTATGCAGTTGCGAGCACTGTAAAACCTTCCAAAACTAAACTTAACTAATTTGTAGCCCACAAAATCATTTTGAACATAGGGAAATAAACTGGCTTTTACAGATGCTGTAGAAACATTGTGGTGGCAATCATATATCATTGGAAAGGTTATTGAATGTTGATGTGCACTGATGTTACAAAACCAATAGAATGGAAATAATGAAACAAACTATGAACACTGATCAAATTGCCGATGTATCGGTGATACATCCAAGAAGAATTAATTGAACAGCATGATCTACAAGATGAAGCTCAATATCCACGCTGTATCTTCTCTAAGGTTCAGTCACTTCATATTAATCCCTCCCTCCTCCCACAATTGAAAAATAGTTAGAGATATACTAAACAAAAGAACATCTGTTTGAGTGTTACATTGAAGGGTATGTCATAAAACCATTTTGAAATGTCTGTAGTTCAGTTGTTTTACCATCCATTAAAAATGCTTGAGTAGCCTACACTATGTAGCTGGCATTGGTACAACTGAAGTCAAAAATCATACTCATGACCTGCCCCCCCCCCCTTTCCCCCTTCTTTCCCCCCCAATTATCCAGTTACAGATAAAAGTACAGACAGTATTCTTCAGACTATCTAAGGGGGCTTTCATGGTTTAGGGGTATGGTGTTCACCTCTCATTCAAAGGTCCTGGGTTTGAAACCTGACAGAGATGGACAATTTCTTCTCTAAAACATTCTGATTTTCCTTTCACCTCCTTTCTTGCTCTCTAATCATGTTCTATTATCTGCTTTCATCTCCCTTTTCTCCAATCCCCACCCCCCTTTTTCCCCCCTCCTCTGGGCTCTTGATTCTTTCCACTGCTCCTCCTGGGTCATTCTTACTGCTGTCTTTCAGCCACACCCCTGATCTTAGAGTAGGTAAGAACGAACACCTAGCCTTCTCGGATAAGGGTGAAAAATCTCAGAGGCCTTGTGTGCAAGTTACCCACATTAAAGATCCCTTGGTGGTTCAATTTATATAATCGATAAGAGTGGGCTTCGGCTGCCGTCTGAGCAAAATTCAAAATTTATTCCTACCAAACTGACTGAAAATGTTTAATGTGTCCCATGTGCTCAAATGACCTTATGCAGTTGCCAGCACCGTAAAGCAATTACCAAAATAAAAAAATAAGACTATAATAAAGAAAAAAACTCAAATCTAATAGTAAGAGAAAACTACAGCAGTGTACCTGAAGGCGTGGTGGTCTTTTCTTCACTCTTGTCAAGCCACTCCCAGCCTCTCCGTCCAGTGTCACCTCAAATGCCACACTCTTTGGAACTGAAATCAATTTATTTTATTGGAGAATGATCAAGTTCTTCTTCAGCAGTCAGACATGGATAATACAATGAGAGGCAGCATGGTGAAATCAAGCGCTTGTCAAAATAATGTAATCAAGGAAGTCAGCATTTTTCTGGCCGTTCAGCAAATTTTTTAAAAATTATTTTTTTGGGGGTTCAAGTTAGAACACATTTCTGGGTGTATTTTACTGAAAAACTTTGATTAAAGGCACAAAACATGTAACTGCAAGCTTCGGAAATCACCAAACTTTGAGCCTATTTTTTTGCTGTTAACCTCTGAAACCAGGCGACCCCCCCACCCACTTCTATCGCAAAAATCTTAATTTCTGTTCAAAGTAGACGGTTAATTTTCTTTTGGCCAAATGCAAGATATAGGAACAAGCTTTAGGATGATACTAATAGCTCCATATGCCCCAAAATTGATTAGCACCTGATACCACCCTATCATGACACATGTCAACAATTACTATACAAAAAGGCATACCACAACCGCTATTGCGTCCAGTTTGTTTGAGTAAACAGAAGCACATTGACACAATAATGGTAATTTAGTGCTGGGACAAAGTAAGACACACAGACAGAAACAACAGAGGAAAAGTAAAGAAGGACCTACCAGTTGCGCCCTTAAACCACAACCACTATGACATCCAACCGAAGGGCAAAAGCCAAAGAGATTGATAACGACTATTGCTTCAGAAAGTTTAAGTCAAAATATCAACATTTCAATAATATATGGTATGAGACACTAAAGATTTTTCTTTTATTATATATCTTATCTTAGTAAATAAGTAACAAAACAAAACATAAGACCCATCAGTCTACCGCTAGATTCCATGTTAAGTGGATTGCAAGGTACATTCTAGTAGGCTACCAAGTTATAAAGAATTATGTCTCTTTCATGTAATTCACCTAATACCAAATACTTTTATTTCACTGTGAATCATTTTAGAGGGTGGTCCACAGAAAAATGTTCAGTCTTATGTTTAAAAATGTTGAGAATCCCTGACCACCAAAAGTATACTTTTCACAACTTAACAATAAAGGAAGACACTTCATCATCGTAACTTCCCTGACTGATAAGAATTCTAGAAATACTTTTTAAAGTAACCACTACGACCAAAACTTTGTAGGATTTGTTATAATAGACTAGAAAAAAAGATTCTCAGTAATCTGGTTTTCATAATCAATTCCCAGGCTAGTTTTAAGAAAAAAGATTCAGGTCAACTCACTCATTAAGAAGATTACTCAAGAAAAACCTTCAGCAAAGTAAATCCTGAAAATAGCCCTATCTTTTCCATGCACAAAATAACATACCGAAAATCTATAGAAGCCTTTATTTGAAAAAATTATAACACCAATTATATTCCTAGGACTTTTGTTTACATAGCTCTCTACCCATTTAAAAACCTTACACTGCTAAAGGGAGCTGTATACCATAATACCAATATATCATGACTGTCAAACATATCACTATAATCATAACACAATGCGTAAGTCATTTAAAAAATTGTGTACGTTTCTTTATGTGTTTGCTAGACTGTATAATAAAGAAACTTTTGACCACATTACCTGGAGCTTGGGGTGGAAGAGCACCAAGTTTGTTGGCATTCTTATCAATATTCTGCTTGGCTGGGACTCGTCCATCTATCTTGGGTACGATTTCATCCGATTTTGTCTTAACGTGTCCATTCTGATGCCCATGATTGGGACTTTTCACTGGTGTCTTCTCTACAAACTGAAGCTCTCCATCTGGAGAAACCACAGATGGTGCGCAGCCCATATCACAGACAAAAAAGGGGAACGTCAACACAGAGCAATGAAAAAGTTACTATATTCACTTTACATTGTCAGCTCTGGAAGTACAGATGTGCTAGTAATCATTTGATCTTTGTATGAAAAGACACTTCCGCAAATTTTGATAAGAGAAATTGTCGACTCGTTCTGAGGAAAGAATAAAAATGTCCATATAAAAACTTGGCATCAAACATAAATTCAACATAACCCACCCACAGTGCAATACAGTAGAACATGACTTTAGCGGCACCCACTGCAGCGGGACCATCCCTACAGCGGGACCTTACCGGAATCCTCTTTTTATTTTCAATGTAAACTAAATTACCTGTTCTCGGGTTTAGCGGGGCAAGAAAAGGCCCAAACTCGGATACAGCGGGAGAGATCGTACGAGCTCTAGCTGGGGGGTAAGGGGGTTGTGGGGCTGAATGCTGGCTCTAAACAGGCAGTCAGCGGTGCGGCATTGTGATTGGCCAGTCCAGTGATGAGTGAGGTGGGGCAGGCGGCAGAGAGAGATGGTGTGGAGAGGTGCGTTACGTGAGCAACTCCAAAAGTGACGTGCCGTAGCTTAGACGCTCAGTATGAGAGTGTATAAGCCATAGCCCTTGGCCTAGGCTAGGCTAAAATATAAAAGAAGAGGAGAGAGTTTAGTGTGTGATTCCTGATTCATTGAATTGCGACCGTTGATGCTCATAGGGTAGGTATACGCATGCATCCACTTCACCAGTTCTACAGTAGGCCTACCTGTGCCATAGACAGCACATGCAATGAGATTGAGACTGAGGAAAAGATGGCTTCCAACAAAGACAAAAGGAAATGCTTCTCACTCGAACTAAAGGTCAAGATAATCAACGAAGTGGATTTTTAGACATTTTTCGGTTATTTCCCCTTTGCATTCCTATAGCAGGAACTCGCCTACAGCAGAATTTTTCTTCTGAAACCAAATGTCCCGCTATAGCCGTGTTCTTCTGTATACAGATGAATGTACATGATGGTGCAAAACAAAACTTAAAACAGTAAAGGTTAAACTCACAAAAGACAAATATATATGAAATAAACTGTCACTTCCTTTGCAATAATTATATATCATATTTATTAAAGTTTCCATTTTTCAAAATGTGTGTGACTTGGGCTTTGGCCAAATATTACCAAAATATATATAATAATAATTATCATACTGCATTCATCGATCTGACAAAGGCTTTTGATACAGTGACAGTCGGTGGATCAGGACTGTACATGGCGCTTAGAAAAAGTGGCTGTCCCCCAATACTGCTACAGCTCATCATCTCATTCCATAAAGTATGAAAGCCACCATTCAGTTTGACGGTTCAACATCAAACAGCTTCAACATCAATAGTGGAATAAATCAGGGTTGCGTCTTAGCACCAACACTTTTTAGCACTTATTTTGCTGTCTTACTGCAACACACATTCAAAGAGTCACCAGGGGATGTCTTCTTCCACTTGAGAACTGATGGGTCGCTCTTCAATCTTGCTTGACTCCAGGCCAAGACCAAGATCAACAAAACAACAGTACGAGACCTTCTCTTCGCAGATGATGCTGCTCTTGTTGCTCACATGCACAGTGAATCAACCCTACAAACAATGATTGACCGCCTATCAACAGCATGGTCATCAGTGTTAAGAAAACAGTCATCCTTACTAAAAAAAGGTGCGGAATAGAGCCATATATAGCTGAACGACAAGGAACTTGAGACAGTGGAAAAGTCTTGTTACCTGGGGTCTACCATCAGCTCTACTACATCACTTGATTATGAGATCAACATCAGGATAGAGGGAAAGCAGCAACAACTTCAGAAAGGCTGCCAAAATTGAAAATGAGCATGGGAAAACAAAAGATAAACCATCCAAAAAAAAGATAAAGATTTACGAAGTATGTGTCCTCAGCACCCTCCTTTATGGACCTGAAACATGGACCTTGTACAGCAGGCAAAAAATGTGCCATGACATTTTCCATCTCAGATGCTGCCGCAAGATCTTAGGCATTTCGTGGCATGACAAGGTTACAAATGCTGAAGTGTTGGAACTGGCAAACCTCCAAAGCATGATAGCTATCCTGTGTTTAAGAAGATCGAGGTGGCAGGGCCATGTCAAGAGAATGGACAACAACCGGATTCCGAAGCAGCTTCTCCATGGAGAACTTGCCCAGGGAAAGAGACCAAGAGGAAGACCAAAATTGAGGTACTGCAAAAACAGCTTCTAAGCTTGGAGTGCATGTTAGCATCTGGGAAGAAATAGCTGAGGAAAGGAAAACATGGGGAAAAATGATAAAGAAAAGAACTATAATGCAGCCTTAGAAACAACCAGGCTGAGAAGCGCCAACAACGAAAGGAAAACAGTGGAAATACAGAGCTTTGATCTACGTCACTGACATGCAAGCACTGCGACAGAATCTACGCTTCAAACATAAGAAGAATTAACCATGAAAAAAGCTGCATGAAGACACCTTTGAGACCATATGAAGCGAAATTGACCGTCTGCATAGACGAAAAGAGCCAAACACAATAATTATCAGAGGCGCCAACGGACCACAAAAAAAAAACATTTTTAAAAAACCTCCCTGTTTGGACTCAGGAAAAATGTGCACACTATACAAAGAATATACTTTATCTCTGTGGGGGGGAGGGGGGGGGGGGTAAACCCACTACGTCTGGCCCCTTTTTTTATACTAAATTTTAAAATAACAAACAAACATCACTAAATGAGTCATTAAACCAAAACAAGTGAATTTATTTTCTTAGTTCTTCATCTAAAAAATGAATTCCAGATTAAAGAGACCTGTTTTCGGTAATTGCCGAGAAGTAATTTGATGTCGAAGTCGGCGTAAAGGAATGCGCTCCAGCCACTGTCAGCAACACAATGGCATTGTGGTTGCGACAGCGAGTCACTGGGAGCGGCTTGCCTAAGAGTTAATAAATTAAATCTCTGATCTTGCATCAAGAATTCAGGCAAAATCTGCAGAATCTCAAAGGTATCCAGATTTCTTTAAAAATCGGGAAATTTGTACACCTCTGTTTTGGGGTGTATTGTTTTTTTCTCCGAATCGTTATTACAAATTTGACCGCCTCTGCCACCCTGGGTACCGTGTAAGCTAGATCTAGCTGAGAAAAAAAAGGGGTGGCATATTAAATTATAAACTAGTTGATTGACATGTCTAAAGAAGGTGCGGCTGGAAAAAAAAGATATATATATGATATTCAATATCATTTCTGTCCTCCCCCCCCCCCCCCCCTTTAAAAAACGGAGTGATTATTCTCACCCGCGGTGAGCACAAACTGGATATTATTCCACCCGGGGTGAGAATAAAATTGATACTATTCTCACCCTGGGTGAGAAAAACGACAGCCTACTATTCTCACCCATTTTTTTCGTTTCGGGCATCATAGGACAGCTGTCACTGAGCGCTCCAGGCGACAAAACTCGCCTCCCCCTCTCCTCACTCCGCGAGGTGACTAAAATAGCCAACTCTCGAGCACGGGAGGCGACTTTTTGTCGATTCGGAAGAAAACCTTATCTTTTGAGCAAATAGTGTCACCTTTTGTTGCTACGTTCTGTAATGGAAAATTTTACTCTTGCATGGTTTAACCAATCAAAATTAAAAAAAAAAATAAGCCTAGGGTCAAGGCACAGTGTTCCTTATCAATAATCGTGGGTTCTGCTAAGGATACCAATTAAACATGTTTTTTGGGTTGTAAACAAATGCCAATTCTAACATTACAATGACAAACTATTACTATCATTATTTCATTAAACAGCTTTCAGTTAAGGCTATTATTTTTTTTAAACCTACTACTCCGGCAAGTGAATTCCTCTCAGAATTTAGAATATATATTTACACTTTGTTTAGGGTTTTGGTGAAAATATACGTGCATACTCTCAACTCAAGATTTTAAAAAATGAAACAATAACAATCCCCGCGGGAGCCTAGAAAAATCGGCCAGCGCTCTGGGGCAGGTCACGAACGGTCACTCTCTTACAATTCACAAATTATTTTCTATCCTTCGTTCTCAACAGCCAGGTAGACCTAAAAATCCATTGCATTCTCAGACCGGGCGAGACATATATTCATTTTATAATCTCACCCGGTGTGAGAATAATAATATATTATTCTCACCCCGGATGACAATAAAATGGATATTATTCTCACCCCGGGTGAGAATTTTTAAAAAAAATTTTTCACCCCGGGTGAGAATATAACGACTGCCTTTAAAAAAACCCTCTATCCAGAATTTAAAAAAATTTTTCTTTTCTGATTCCCTTTTCACTGTGATTCCAATTCTTGGGTAAATATGAACTACGTAATTAGCCTAGGATTTCATAAATTTGAATAGTGATGGATAGGCCTGTATATTCTAGATCTATACATGGCAACTGCATGCAGACAAGAAAATCTACACTTTGACATAGATAGACGCAGATCCCTCTGTACAGCTTGGCCCTTTTTCGGAAGTTCCCATCCCAGAATCATTATTCGCTGGTTGGGGGGTAAACCCACTACGTCTGGCCCCTTTTTTTATACTAAATTTTAAAATAACAAACAAACATCACTAAATGAGTCATTAAACCAAAACAAGTGAATTTATTTTCTTAGTTCTTCATCTAAAAAATGAATTCCAGATTAAAGAGACCTGTTTTCGGTAATTGCCGAGAAGTAATTTGATGTCGAAGTCGGCGTAAAGGAATGCGCTCCAGCCACTGTCAGCAACACAATGGCATTGTGGTTCCGACAGCGAGTCACTGGGAGCGGCTTGCCTAAGAGTTAATAAATTAAATCTCTGATCTTGCATCAAGAATTCAGGCAAAATCTGCAGAATCTCAAAGATATCCAGATTTCTTTAAAAATCGGGAAATTTGTACACCTCTGTTTTGGGGTGTATTGTTTTTTTCTCCGAATCGTTATTACAAATTTGACCGCCTCTGCCACCCTGGGTACCGTGTAAGCTAGATCTAGCTGAGAAAAAAAAGGGGTGGCATATTAAATTATAAACTAGTTGATTGACATGTCTAAAGAAGGTGCGGCTGGAAAAAAAAGATATATATATGATATTCAATATCATTTCTGTCCTCCCCCCCCCCCCCCCCTTTAAAAAACGGAGTGATTATTCTCACCCGCGGTGAGCACAAACTGGATATTATTCCACCCGGGGTGAGAATAAAATTGATACTATTCTCACCCTGGGTGAGAAAAACGACAGCCTACTATTCTCACCCATTTTTTTCGTTTCGGGCATCATAGGACAGCTGTCACTGAGCGCTCCAGGCGACAAAACTCGCCTCCCCCTCTCCTCACTCCGCGAGGTGACTAAAATAGCCAACTCTCGAGCACGGGAGGCGACTTTTTGTCGATTCGGAAGAAAACCTTATCTTTTGAGCAAATAGTGTCACCTTTTGTTGCTACGTTCTGTAATGGAAAATTTTACTCTTGCATGGTTTAACCAATCAAAATTTAAAAAAAAAATAAGCCTAGGGTCAAGGCACAGTGACCTTATCAATAATCGTGGGTTCCGCTAAGGATACCAATTAAACATGTTTTTTGGGTTGTAAACAAATGCCAATTCTAACATTACAATGACAAACTATTACTATCATTATTTCATTAAACAGCTTTCAGTTAAGGCTATTATTTTTTTTAAACCTACTACTCCGGCAAGTGAATTCCTCTCAGAATTTAGAATATATATTTACACTTTGTTTAGGGTTTTGGTGAAAATATACGTGCATACTCTCAACTCAAGATTTTAAAAAATGAAACAATAACAATCCCCGCGGGAGCCTAGAAAAATCGGCCAGCGCTCTGGGGCAGGTCACGAACGGTCACTCTCTTACAATTCACAAATTATTTTCTATCCTTCGTTCTCAACAGCCAGGTAGACCTAAAAATCCATTGCATTCTCAGACCGGGCGAGACATATATTCATTTTATAATCTCACCCGGTGTGAGAATAATAATATATTATTCTCACCCCGGATGACAATAAAATGGATATTATTCTCACCCCGGGTGAGAATTTTTTAAAAAAATTTTTCACCCCGGGTGAGAATATAACGACTGCCTTTAAAAAACCCTCTATCCAGAATTTTTAAAAATTTTTCTTTTCTGATTCCCTTTTCACTGTGATTCCAATTCTTGGGTAAATATGAACTACGTAATTAGCCTAGGATTTCATAAATTTGAATAGTGATGGATAGGCCTGTATATTCTAGATCTATACATGGCAACTGCATGCAGACAAGAAAATCTACACTTTGACATAGATAGACGCAGATCCCTCTGTACAGCTTGGCCCTTTTTCGGAAGTTCCCATCCCAGAATCATTATTCGCTGGTTATGGCCTCAAGATTGAGGGGGGTTTCGTGGTGGGGGGGGGGGGGGGGGGCATGCCCCTCCTGAATTTCACCATAATTTAATGTTTTGCAGTTTGAGTTAGGTTTGATATCTGTCGCTCGCCACGCATCAAACATATGATCTATATCATCTAGATCTAGATCTAGATCTAGATTCTAGATCTCTAGATCCAAATAAGGGGTGTGGGAACTACCGAAAAAGCGCCGAATTCTCTATACACATAATTCCGCCCGTTTACCGCACCGGCAACAATCTTAACAACATTGACATTGAAATTGATCGGAGATCTATAGACATCTTCTAGATCTAGAATCTAGAATGTCTAGAACTAGATCTAGATCTAGATCTAGATTAAGATCTAGATCCATAGTCTATAGGCCTAGCTTTTAAATTAATAGATCTATTCTAAATCAATTTGAAATAATAAGCATGATGATAGGCCCAGCAAATTCAACTTGAGCTCCGGACATTCAACACACATACATAGATCTAGATCTAGATCTAGATCTAGATCTAGAATCTAGATATAGATCTAGATCTAGAATCTAGATATAGATCTAGATTCTAGATCTAGATATACACAAATGCAACTCTGATGATAATAATATACTTGCTTACTCTGATGGACTGGCAGAGAAAGAAACAGGTTCACTGCGCACAGGAAATCCGAGAAAACAATTAATTTAGGAATCCCATCCAATGTACTGTTAACTTAGAATTCTGTCTTCGATGCCAGAGGCCTGAGACAAGAATGCAACGCGAGGAACACAGTACACAACAGAGAGTGATGACGTCACGTGTATCATGGCGACATGTAAACAACTATCAGGTGCTCTTCGGTAAATTTCGGGAAGAGCTTTAAACACCGAACATATTAGTCATACCATAAAAGAATGCAACAGATACATGTACAATTATTAATTACAGGTTGGGGTTTTTTTGGTACATGTTTTGGAACGTACGTTGAGATAGCAAATAATAATAGTACAGTGAGAGTGCGTGCGTGCATGTGTGCGTGCGTGTGTGCGTGTGTGCGTGCGTGCGTGCGTGCGTGCGTGCGTGCG